AACATACCTAAGCTTGGTAGCTTTGAATATGCCACTATCCCCATCCAATTCGAACAGCCGATGAATGTCACTCCACTTAGCCGTTTTCCCTTCGAATACAATATCTTTAGTCATCAAATTATTCCTCATGCTTTTCAGCATATGAGGGACATCATAAACATGAATAATTTGATGACCGTCAATATTGTATACGAATTGATCACCCTCCTTACCACATTCTGCTGAAAGGCTACGCAAGGCAGCTACATTCCAGGAGCCACCATCGCATACAGATGCTACGATGCGAAAATCCGTATGTTTATGAACGGCTTGTATAACTTCTTTGATCAATGATTTTAGTATATGCGGATTCGCAGCCTTATGCGTAAAATAGAAAGCAAGAGGTTGCTTCCATTTTTTCGCCAGACCCCGAAGCATAAACACCAAAACATGATCTGAAAGTTTTTGACCCCTTTCTGTTCCTACCTCTACAAACCCTTCAACATGCCAACCATTTTCAGTTACCTTCAAATTCAAATTCTTTTCAGTCTCCATCTCATCAAACATAAGTGTGCAGAAACGGTCACAGAGAGCCATTTTAGTTGAAACACTCTTCAGATAGGTAAATAAATTTAGGTTGATTCCGCTTGTCAGTTGGAAATTTGCAAGTGATCGTTTTAATGTCCTGGTTGAAGGTAGACAAAGAATCTTTTGCAAGTATCGGTAGGACCGGGGACCGTGTTTGAGAATGGAAAGGAATAGGGCTTTTTCTTCTAACGTATAACGTCGGTTTTTTTTGGTTGTATGGAAATTTCGAACGAGATAAAGGATAAAAACACGGAGAGGTTTAGGTAGGGTATGTATGTGTTGGATATTGGTTAAGTTCGATGGGGAAAAGGGATTTGCATTATTTTTTTTGAATTGAGATAAATGCTGAATGCGCTTGCTCCGATACCGCAAAATATTTTTTGCATTCTTCAACCTTGCCATCAGCTTCTGTTCCTTCGGGGTAACCTTACTTCTAGTGCTATCAACTTCTCGAAGTGTTGTTCGAGCTGAAAATGACATGCTTTATAATTTATTCTTTTTTACTTTAATGTATTTGCATTAACAAGAAATTGTATTTAATTACTATGTTGTACTTAATTAAATATTTACCTCTGTACGTCCTCGGCTTAGGAGTTTCAAATTCAGAAGACGTACAGGGGATGGATGAACTGGATGGAGAATTGATAGGAGAATCGGGATCGTCTTCTAAATTTACAACAAGTCGAGGTATTTGTTGTGTACATAACTTCTTCCGGGCTGAGGTTTGGAACTGCTTGGTTTTGAAATGCCGCTCACAAACGCGAAGCCTTCTCCCATGTAATTGACTGTATGTAAACTCCATAAGATCAGGCCTCTCCATTCGTTCCAACCATTGCCGCCGCAAATCGTCTGATCTTGGAAAACAGAACAATTGTCGATCTTTGGGCGGCAATGAATTTGTTGGACACTGTTCGTCCACACAACTCTGTACATTAGGATTTATTAGACATTTAAAATATAAATTTCTAAAATATTAAGCATTCAATAATACTTTTAGAACTCGTTAAGAACTTAACATCAAGATTACTATGTTATTAATTATTACTATGTGAGGATAACAACGAAAAAGAAGTTATTATTAATTGCTTACAGTGATACAATAAAATCTGCATACACCCCAGAAAATGATAATATCTCAGCTCCTGAAATGTAATTCAATGAATTTTTTGAACGAAGGATATTAGAAGTCTGTTGTATTATTTTAATATAAAGTCGAAACAGTTTGACTTGTGCTACGAAGTGAAGGCTACAGCAGTAGATTTAGTCGCACAAATAAACTCGAATTATTCTAGTTCTAGGTCTAGTGTTAGTTCTAGTTTTATACTAGCACTGTTATCTATGTAGAACTAACACTATACCTAGAACTAGAATCATTTGGGTTTAGCCGCACGACTGTAAAGACGGCTAAACCCGAATGATTCTAGTTCTAGGTATAGTGTTAGTTCTAGTTTTACACTAGCACTATTATTTACGTAGAACTAACACTAGACTAAGAACTAGAATCATTTGGGTTTAGCCGCACGTCTGTAATGATTCCGAATGATTCTAGTTCTAGGTATAGTGTTAGTTTTAGTTTCACACTAGCACTGTTATCTATGTAGAGCTAACACTATAGGTACCTAGAATTAGAATCATTTGGGTTTAGCCGCACGTCTGTAATGATCCGAATGATTCTAGTTCTAGGTATAGTGTTAGTTCTAGTTTCACACTAGCACTGTTATCTATGTAGAGCTAACACTATACCTAGAATTAGAATCATCCCAGTAAACAAGAAACCTCTGTGAAACATTTCAATTTTAACGTACAGTGAATTAAATGAAACATCTTAGAACTACGTTTCATATACGTGACAGATACGATTTTTACGAAACGTATCTAAAGATATGTATCAAATACATTTCAGTAGAAATATTTATGAAATATCATTAAAATATGTAGCAGAAACATTTCATTTGAAACATTTCGCTACAAATGTGTCTGAAACATGTCTGGAATATCTTCAGCACCGCCTGTGAACGTATGTACAAACATTAATTAATGTTTGTAAACAGAACTAACCTAAGGTAACATTCCTTCACGGTTTAATTGACAGTTTAAAAGAAAACTTCACGCTATGATTGGCATTACTAATTACTAAAGAAAACTTCACGCTATAATTAATGTTTGTAAACAGAACTAACCTTAAGTAACATTCCTTCACGGTTTAATTGGCATTTCAAAAGAAAACTTCACGCTATGATTGGCATTACTAATTACTAAAGAAAACTTCACGCTATAATTAATGTTTGTAAACAGAACTAACCTTACGTAACATTCCTTTTGGGTTTAGCCGCACGTCTGTAAAGACGGCTAAACCCGAATGATTCTAGTTCTAGGTATAGTGTTAGTTCTAGTTTCACACTTTCACTGTTATCTATGTAGAACTAACACTAGACTAAGAACTAGAATCATTTGGGTTTAGCCGCACGTCTATAAAGACGGCTAAACCCGAATGATTCTAGTTCTAGGTATAGTGTTAGTTCTAGTTTTACACTAACACTGTTATCTATGTAGAACTAACACTATACCTAGAACTAGAATCATTTGGGTTTAGCCGCACGTCTGTAAAGACGGCTAGTGATAGTTTAAAACTAAAACTAACACTAGACCTAGAACTAGATACTTTTTAGTTCTAGGTCCTAGATCTAGTGTTAGTTGTAGTATTAGTTCAATAAAAATATGCAACATAATGATATATTATGCTAACTAGGCTACTTTTCACTGTCTCTAGAACTAATATTACACCTAAAAGTATGAACATTCAGGTTTAGCCGTTTTAAGAGACGCACGGCTAATAATACAAACGGAATGTTTTTAGTTCTAGGTCTAGTGCTAGTGTTAGTCTAGTTTATTTGTTATTCTAGATAGTTGTATATTTTTATTGAGCTATAACGGACACTGATAGACTTTTTTTTAGGACTGTATGTAGACTTTTTTAAGTTAAAGACATGACCCTTGTTTATAGATATACAAGTATATCTATTATAGTTTTGTGTTCCCCTTGATTAATAGTAACTTATATAGGTTTTATGTACAATATGGAAATAATATGGACTTCTTACATGTTTTGTTAAAAAATTTCATTGAATTACATTTCGGGAGCTGAGATATTATCATTTTCCGGGCTGTATGTAGACTTTATGGTACTACTACGTATGTTAAATCTGGTTGAATTGTATGATTCTGGTTATGATTTATAAATTACAAGCATAAGAACTTATTACAAATTTTATCAACTTATCGGAGACATAATTATTTATTTAATAGCTATTTCCTAATAAAAAAATTAATAAGATTTTAACTTTTAATTTATTTACAATCAAATAATATTTATTCTCGGGTGTAAATGAAGTGGCCTAACCACTTAAAACATCAAAATATTTTATTTATACAGATGGTGTACAGATTGGTACAGATGTATCTGAATGACGTTCCCAAACTCCAGGGGGTGATTCTTTAGCAAATTTTAAGGATACTTTCTTATATGAATTATGAGCGACTTCTACTCCCCTGGTGAGCTACGCCCTTTCAAAAATGGCGGAAAATTTTGGTTTAACTTTCTAATCTACTAATCTTTCTATGTCAATTTTTATTATATTCTGAACATCTGGCGGGATTATAATTATATGTTTGCGGGGATTTCCCCGTTAAACAATTAACACAATGAAAATAACAAATAATCTTATACTTACTGGGATTGCAGGCATAATTATACTTGATTTTACACAAATTAACTTTTACTACTATTATAATATAACAATATTATATATATGTGTGGTTTAACTTATTTGAGCCAAAACCACAGACTAAAGGTTTTAAATACGATGCAACACTTTATATGGGAAGAACAAAGAAAAATGCCGAACGATCGATTTTATTAAGGGCTTCGACGCGACACGTAATGTATTTCGTCACGAGGATTGTCCCGCTCGATAAAAATAAAATAAATCTTCTGACACGACAAACGCTTTCTCAAACGAGAGAACTAGCAATAAAACACTAATAATCGCCCGTTTTATGTTACATAACACATTATGTAACATTATTACATAAATGTAATATATTCAAAAATTTGTTGTGGTGCGTCATCAGTTGTGGGAACGGGTACAATGTGTTCCTGTTCCTAAAAAGTAATAGGTCCAAATAAAAGCAATTGTAGGACATCAAACCTTGATAAATCTCGCTATCAACGTTTTCAGTACTCCAATTGCTTGCATTATCTTACTACACTCAAAGATAAATCTACAATTTTACCGTGAAAAAACATATGCAAATAAGCTAAGAACCTTCAATGAAGTGGTTATGAGTGCGCATAAATAGATATTTTTCTGAACATGTTAATTCAATGTTTTTGTTGTGTCAAGATAAAATAAAAATTATAAAACGCAAAGATAATGTGTGGTAAATTTTATTTATTTATAATATATATTGACTGGCATCAAAAATTAATTCACACAATTATATTATATACACACACACATTGTCTAAAGGATCCTTTAGTTAAAAACCAGTCGGAATATCAAAAATTTATCTGTTAAAACCACAAAGTCCATTTAATACAACCAAAATGATAACAACTAATATACTTCTTTTAGTTAATTTTAAATAGTTCCATTAAAAAAATTAATAATAAATGCATAAGTAACCCTGATATTTCCAACTGTATCTTTAACATAATCTTTCACACACACCTCATCTTTTTTTATATATCGACAATGTTTATTGCGTAATTAAACATAAAAAAAACGAATCCATTTACTTAAAGTTCTCATTGAGGTATGCGGTAATCGCGTCTTTATCGCGAGCTAACCACGCTGCGTTTAATCGTATAGTTTCGACGGCTTGTTGTACGGTTCTTTCAGTTCCAGGCGATTTATGGTCGCGGAAAAATTGTTCAACTTCCACCGCCATTTCTTCACTAGCAAAATTTTCGGTTGTAAACTTAACCAATCTTGCTAATAAAAATCCACCTTGATAAATATCAATTAATCTTTTCCAATTATCCTTAAAGAATGTCCAAGCGAGTTCTCTTCCAACTTTAGTCATAGCAACCGACATAATAACGAAAACTGTATCTTGAGAACGTACCTCATCCGACATTGCGAAGTTTAAAACTTTTTGTAATAAAGCAGCGTCTTTTGTGGCACCCAAAGCTCGACTTATACGATCTTTTTCTTCGTGCAAATCGGATGAACGATACAGTTGTAACAAAGTATCGAAAGTTTCTTGTCCACCCGCTCTTAAAACCGCTTTGTAACAGGCGCTGCGTAAATCGGCTGGTAATTTTGGTCCTTCACCTATATGTTTTGCAAATCGCACTTTTGCGTCGTTTATGAAGTTTTCATCATCGAGCCATGCTAATCTACCCAAAATTAAACCTCTTAATAAAGTATCCAGATGGGTTTCGCCTTCTATTGAATCCCAGCCAAGTCTTAAAAAGACTTTTGAAAGTAATTTCTTTTTGTACTACAAAAAAAATTATAAATAAAGCAGTAATACATATTATAATGTTTTTTACCTCATTAAATTGTTTTTCAGAATTAGTATGGGATAATAAAACACCTAACTTAGTAAGTACATTACTTATAGATGACCAAACGGTATAATCAACTTCTTCTTCAAAAGCAGTCATTAATTTAAGTACCTCAACCGTTCCTGTATGTCCTGCTTGAACCATAGCGAACAAATCGTCTAAAAGACCCAAACGATCTAAAGGTGGTAAAGATCTATTTTTGATTGCTGGAACTAATTTTTCAAGCATTTCTGGTGGATATTGAGTACGATAACAACCAATAGTGCTTGGATTTAATTTAACCCAATCGTTTTCTGTGACGTCGTTCAGTTCGATCGTTCCCTCTTTTGCTTTCAAAACGGTATTCGCAACTTCTTTACCCGGATTTTTAGATGTTGAAACGGAAATAGGGATTATCCACATGTATTCTTCTTTAGGTGGGCTACCGTCTGAGCAAAATTTTCTTTGAGTTAAATTTAATGTAACTCCTTTTCCATCCGGTTTTGGCGTTGATGTAACTTGAATTACCGGAAAACCCATTTGTTTTGTCCAAGTTGACATAACAGCTCCAACCGGTTTCTTACTAGCTTCTTCAAGAGCCGCCCATAAATCCTCCGTGAAAGTATTTTTGTATTGATGTCTAGTCAAATACAGGTTCATTCCTTTACGAAAATCTTCATCGCCAATGTAATGATGTAACATTCTGATAACCGAGGCACCTTTATTGTAGCTAATATCGTCGAAGATTTCGTCGATTTCCGATGGATGACCAACTGGAACTTCAATGGGATGCGAATTTTTCAACCCGTCCAATTCTAAAGCTCTACTATAGATGTCGTTGACAAATTGCGTCCAGATGTCGTATTCGGGGAAAAGATGGTTTACACAGAGAAACTCAACGAATGAAGCGTAACCTTCGTTTAGCCAAAGATGAGTCCACCATTCCATTGTTACCAAGTTTCCGAACCACTGATGAGCTAATTCGTGACCCACTACTAAAGCTATCCATTGTTTTCGCATTGCTGAGGTATTTTGGGGATCGACCAAAAGACATGTTTCTCTAAAAAAAAAGAACTTGATTGAAATTTAATGAAATTTAATTAATCTATTCAACTATTTAGCCAGATAATTATTACATTTATTTTGACAGTTTTATTTATACGTATGTTATACCAAATGATGATACCCACCAAATCGAGGAAAGATGGACGAAATACTTTGAAGAAAGACAACCAAGATACAACGAAGCACGAAAGTACAGCGATAACACAGATTGTGGAGGAGGAGGAGGAGTTTGCGGAACCTGCGATGGGAGACGAAGTGGTAAACGCACTGGAAGGTCTTGCGAATAATGAATCACCTGGAAATGATAACATTTCAGCGGAACTACTAATAAAAGGAGGCCTTGACCTCACTACTAAAGCGTTAACTGACATCATACAGAAAGTGTGGACATCAGAGCGCATGCCAGATGAGTGGAAAATGAGTATTATAACAGAAACCATAATAGGTGAATATCAAGCAGGCTTTAGACAAGGACGTTCAACAACAGACCAGCTTTTCGTGGTGAAACAAGTCTTTGAAAAATACTGAAAGTTTGACATAGATGTTAAACAAGCTGTTTAAGCAGGACTTCAACATCCCACCAGAACTAGTGAGATTAACGCGCTTAACTATGAATGAATCCACAGGCAGGGTTAAAATACAAGAAAGACTAACTGAAGCTTTCAAGATAAACCAGGGTCTAAAACAAGGGGATGGATTAGCGCCAGTGCTATTCAACCTGGCGCTGGAAACCTCCACAGAGCTGGAGAGAGCAGTAGGAGAGGTGGGCCTGAAAATTAACGAAAGCAAGACCAAAGGTGCTCATGCAATCAAATAGGAACGAGAAGGCAAAATCTAAAGTTTAGGGATCTGAATTTTGAGGTCGTAAATGACTTTGTGTATCTTGGCACCACTATACCCAATATCCGGGACGAAATAAAAGAGATACGGAAAAGAATTACCAGCGCAAATAAAACGTACTACGCCCTGTCCAACCTTTTCAAGTCTCGAGACGTCCATAGAAAAACAAAGATACAGCTCTATAAGACAATTATAATACCAGTCCTATGTTATGGTAGTGAAGTTTGGACGCTGTCACAAAAGGCCGAATCAAACCGAGATGCTTTCGAGAGAAAGATTCTGCGCAGAATCTACGGTCCGGTCAAAAAAGACAAACAATGGAGAATACGATACAACCATGAGCTATACAATCTCTTACAGGAAGTTAGCGTTTCAACATATACAGGATGTTTCTGTAAGTCGTGAAATAATTTTAATCACAAATACATACTAGAGTCAAAATAATGACGATTCCTGTAAAAATTTTTGGTGTCATAAAAGGCCCATAAGCAAAGAAATTTTTAAACATTTTCTTAAATATTTTCAATATGATTTGTCTTAGAAGGATAAAATTTGGCAAACAGTGTAATGTTATCATGAGAAATCGTTTAAGATCACTTTTAAAAATATGCAAACACGAGATTAATTCAACACAGCTTATTCACAAAAGTTATTTCTTTACAATGTCTTAATTATGTTTAACCATTAAATTTTCCAACCCAACCCAACAGATTCTAAAAGCTTATGTCATTTTAAAATTATTTATACTCTTACAAATGTTTGAACAAATGTATCGTTTTTGAGTTATTCACAAACAGATTCAAGTTCGTTTAAAAGAAATCTGTCAAATTACTACTAAACGTAGCATAAAATCTGGATTTTCTTCAAAATAATTATTCTTCAACATTTCTGAAACGAATGGTTTTCTACAAAAAGTACTTTTTATCAATAGTACATTTTTCCATCATAGTATGGCAACACTGTACTTGCAAAGGGATGATCAGCAATTTTACAATCATACAATTGCTGTTGATGGTGGACATGCCAAGATGTACGTTTGGATATTCTGAAATGTCTAAGCTGTTCCTATCAACAGTACTAGCAGTACAACGATCTGTACGAACTGATTAAACTTCCTGTCGCACGTAAATGTCTTTCGATATTTCGAAATGTTTTTGTATCAGGTTGTCTTTACTTACAATTTGTTTCCATAGGCACCTACGATTAATGAAAACATTCCAAAATCGAGGTTGTATCTTTTTGCAAAGATTTCGAAAACGTCTAATCAAAAATTTCTAGGAGTGAAAATTATTTTAAAATGGAATAGGCTTTTAGAATTAGTTGGAAAATTTAAGGGCTTGTATGTATGTATGGTACGGGGAGTGCGTATTCTATACGCGGCTCTTTGTACATCCTCCCTCTAAGAGGTCTGAGATGTTATAACGAGCTTATCTCGATTTTGGCTGATTCCGCTTCCTGACCGACTCCCCCTCTCACCGGGCGTGCATATGCACAGGTCCAGTGCGGGTTTGCCCCTGTCAGGTGCCGCTCAATGATACCACTCACTCACTGACCCTCTCGGGCCAAGGTGGATCAAAGCTGCTCATCAACCCTTAGTCCGGGTACGCTCCCACGAGGTGTAGCATCAAGGGCGCTAACGCGGATTCAATCATGTATTCAAACTTCTTACACACATGGTGATTAATTTAAGAGTTTATGACATCAAATTTTTTTTTAAAGAAATAGTCTTTGTGAACACCCTGAATAGCATTGATCCCGTGGTTCAATATTTTCAATATTGAATTGCATAGTTTGCAAAATTTAGTTTTTCTACGACAACATATTGAAAGTATTTAAGAATATGTTTGAAAATTTTATTAACTTTGAAGGCCCATATCTTAGCCATTTATGGGTTTCGATCAAAATTTTTTACACGAATCGACATCGTTTTCACTCTAGTATGTGTGATTAAAAGTATGCCACGGCTTACAGAAACACCCTGCAAAAACTGCAAAGACTCAAATAGGCGGGTCATATAGAAAGAATGGACGTTTCAAGAGTGGTCATAAGAGTGCATCTAAAGGGACTTGAAGGCAGACGACTAGTGGGAAGACCAGGTGACCAGGCCAGGTGCTGGCGGGATAAACTGGAAACAGATGCGCAAACCATACTTCAGGTGCATAATTGAAAAGCGATGGCAAGGGACAGACGGGCCTGGAGGAGGAAAATACAGGAAGTCAAGGTCTGAATTGAACTGAAGTGCCATTTGATAGATGTGCACATTTCCCTAAACATTCGAATAAATCCTTGAAGTAAAGACAACTGAAATTAAGAATTCAAATAGAATTCTTAACAAATTTTTACAAGTGATCTTAGTTACTACTTCTTTAAAGAAATAGGTTATAATAAATCGACTATTTTGGTAAAAATCGATCGCTTGCGGCTGAGTTGCTGCAATGCGTTCAATACTTCTGGGTTGATATAATATTAATTGTGGTGCCTCGGCCCCAAGCGCCCTAAGTCACTATTTCGATTACTATTTTTTTTTAATTTAAATTGTTGCAGCACATTTTTTTAACCTTAAAATTTTTATATTTTGCACATTTTAATATTATCCAGGTATATTATGTTTTATTATTAAAATATAATGTGCTATCAATCAAATATGCAATTAGAATAAACCAAGATAAGTTTTTTGAGTTTGGAGCTACAATAAATTAATATTTCCACAAATTATATATAATAATTACCTGTACGTAACTAATCCCCAATTTTCCATAGCTCCAGCACTAAAATCAGCAATAGCAATCAAATCAATCTTGGGTAATGGATAAGCGATACTAAAATAATCTTTATAATAAGGTAACACTTTCGTAGCGACTTCCAAAGCGAATAAACCCTGTTCTTTTTTCCCCCTAGGCGTATAAACCCTAACCAAAACCCCATCCGACGATTTTCCTTCAACGTAATCATATTCCCCAACAACTGTGGCTACCAAATAAGTAGACATAATCGGGGTCCTTTCAAAATCGTATTTTACCAAATCGCCAACATTGCTCGTCGTTTTAATCGGCATGTTCGATAACGCCTCCAATTTCGGCGGAACAATCAAGCTAATGTCAAATGTCGCCTTTAAAGCGGGTTCGTCCCAACAGGGAAAACACCTTCTCGCGTCAGTCGATTCAAATTGTGTTACGGCCGCGTAACAATCCTCCCCCTTTTCGTTAATGTACTTGCTTCGATAGAGGCCCTTCATTTTATCGTTGATTTCGCCCTCGAAGGTGATGTGCATTCTATATGAAGCGGGGGCGAGGGTTTCTGTTAGGCAAAATTCGGCCGTTTCATCTTCCGACGATAAATTAACTTTTTCAATTGCGATTAATTTCTCATCTTTGATATTTTCTACCGTTGATTCTTTTATTATTAAATCTAAGGCGTTAAGTACGATTTTATTTGTTGGTTTTACAACCTGGAAATTAACAAAATTAAATTAAATTTTTATTAATTATTTTTATCTTGTGTTTAATTTTAAATAAATCCAGATAAGAATGATAAAAAATAACTTGCTTATAACAGAATAAGAATTTTATGTTTAAATATGAAGATAAAACCAATTTTTTGTAACTAAACATTAACAAAAATAGGAATTTTTCGTGGATATTTTTAACTTTGGCGGTATTTCAAGGGGGAAAAAATGCAAATTCATCTACGTTATTAAGATTTCAAATTGAATATTATAAGTTATTTTGAAAATTAAATTTTGAGATAACTTAACCCTTAATCTAATCTGACAGTTGGCGGTTAGGTTTTCATATTTATAGGTTATGTCGTAGACTCGTGGAACCAACCTAAATCTTAAATGAAAAAAAAAAAGGATAAAGTAAACCGTTCCGCATTCATTTTCACCTTATTTTCAACAAAAAAAGAAAATAAAAGACAAAAAGATCGTTATTGTTAACAGAAAAAAGGAATAAATAAACTACGTCAAAGAGACCGACCATAAAACGATTGTTATCTAGGTCGAAAGTCGCAATTTCAATGTTGTTTATCTGTCCCCCCTTTGGCATATGTTACCTCGATTTCGATGGCGAGCCTCCCATCGAAGGCGAACGTTTTCAAATCCGGCTTGAGGGTCAGACTGTAATGAACGGGCTTGACGGTGTCCGGTAATCTTTGGAACGGTTTCGACTCGGGCATCCTGACCTGGCTGTTGTTGTCTGAGGGTTTCCGTTCGGGCACAATATTCGCGGCTCTTTTACTACTACTCGTGGCACTCAACGTGCTTGTCGATGAATTGGTCCGCACTCGATACGCTTTCGTCTCGCACTGCAACAACAACGGCAGCGACGGCGGCCGCGGCGGCGGCGCACGCGACGAATAACAAACCGACGGCGGCGACGACGCCGCTATAGGAGGACCGAGTAACGGTAAAACGGTCGAGTTTCGCGTACGACAGCAACGGCTTTCCAGGTACCGTACCGTTCGTCTCAGGCCCCCTTTGACCCCTTCACCGACCACCACCCTGTAAAACATTTTTTTATTTATTCTTTGACAACGCTTTAATGAATTTTTAAATGATAAGTTGATATTGTTTTAATAAATACTTAAAATCGAACAACTACATCACCTCACATCGAAACGTTACGTCAAATGTCAAACTTGATTAGATATAGGTTAGAATAAACAAAAGAAGTCAATTAAATCAAGAAAAGCCGTTATTCTTAAGATGGATAAATACCAACCTTTATTTTACAAAATCGATTATTTTTATTTTTAATTAATTAAATTTACTTATTATGATAATGAATAAACAAAATCCAACCTTATTAATTAAAAATGATGGAATATTAATTTTGCAAATTAAAAAGAAAATCTTTTCATATTTATTTAACAGCGACATCCATTCGTAATTATGGGAACTATATTGATTCAAAAATTGCTAAACGCTGTTGATTGACATAATTTATTTTAATATCTTTTTTAACCTAAATAATGATTTAAAAAGATACGGAAAAAGGTTTTAGAGGATATAAATGAAGAATTCTTGTTGATTTTGGTAAGAGTTTTAAATTTCTAATAAAAAAATCATAAATTTTACAGGTTAACCTCAAATTAAAATAAATAATTTTGATTTTAAAACATTTTTTACAACAAATTATTAACAATTAGAGAATGAAACGTGTTTAAGTTACAAACAACGGAATTCTTAACTGTTAAGATTTTAACATTGTGAAAGAATTTAACATAAATTTGACATAACCTAAAATGAAGAACTGTCAATTTTTCAACTTAATTTAAACTTTTCTTCCAAGAAAATATTAAGAATGAACGAATATTACTTTTAAAAGTTATTCATTATTATAAATATGAATTTTCTAAGATTTCCTTTGAATAAAATTCCTAAACCCAACATAACCTAAAAAAATTCAAAATTAATCTTTTTGAAATTATAATATTTCATCTGTATGTTGGTAAAAACTTAATATTCTAAAATTTCTAATTCTTTTAAATAAATTATAATCATATAATAATATTTCAATCAAATTCGTGACTTTTTACTGAAAAAAAAAATTTTTTTTCAATAAAATCTTAATAGAATGTTTCTTACTCTTGTTAATGAAAGGGGGACACGTTTATAAACACGTGCACAATTCGCCGACGAATTCCGTTATACGGGGTATTGCCACACTATAATATACCGCCAATGACGATTAGCGAAGGTCGTCGAAGGCTCCTAGTAAGCCGCTCTTCCGTTTTATCGAGCGCAAGGACGATGCATCTTTCTCCAAGAAGGATAATATAGTCTTGCAATTATAATTGTTGTTTGTTTCACACCAAGTTATTTTGCAAGAGAACACGTTACGTATGCAAACGTCTATTTGAATTTTTAAAATGATTTTTAGTAATATGGGAAGATTTATTTTGTATTGTTGCTATGAAACTGTTTTTAAAATAACAAGAAATGAAGAAATCTTGTTTATTGAAGTAAAACACAAAATTGATTTTCTTGAAAAATTATGGAAAACAAATTGTTTTATCAGACAAAATTTATACAACTTTTTGAGTTGCTCTTAATGGCAGGAACAAGGTGGAAATGAGTTTAATTTAAAATATGGAAATTGCTATTGTAACGAATACAATGGAGATTGAATTGATTACTAATCTAACAGATGTAGGCGGTCTTTACTTATATAACTTTTCACATCATGTGACAAATTCTGTGGGCGCAAATAATTGTAATATCTAGCCCCATCTTTTTCATCATTGTAGCGTTTTCGGCTAATTGCACTGATTGCAGAAAGGTGCAGACAGTCGAAAATGCTTGAGATAATTGAATTATCTATTGGATTAACAGTAAAACTTTGCATTGGCTAGCTCAGAAGCTTAATTTTGTTCTTCTTTATAATCTTATTGTCTTGTAGAACATCTATTTATACTTAAGATTGGATTGGCTTTGTATCAGTTGAGTTAGGTTGGGTTGGATTGTGTGGAAATGAGAATCGCAGTAATCATCGCACTCAAATCTGATTTTATTTTAGTGTACGCAGAAGCCTTTCCAGGTGGTGTCCGAAACAGATCTGCAATAACCGAGTTTGTGGTATTGTACTTTCGGCAATCCATGATGACCTGGATGAGCTCGATACAGAAACAGTTGCGTTACTTTATGGTATTATGAGTTAGCCTTAGCAATTAGGTGATATGAAAACAGAAAGTAGCGTTGCTTCCTACTCGATAGAAACTGGCGAATCCAGTGCAGTTCGCAATGATTTGACAAGCAAATACAGATGAACGAAGGTGTGATGTATGTCGATGACCAAGCGATTATCATTAAGGAAGGAAACAAATAGAAGTAGAACATCAATTATTCGTTGGGGAATATGATTTGATGGCTGAGGGTTAAGTTCGGAAAACAAAAGTATTAACTTTTTATTAATGAACTCCAATTTGGAAGGAATGATTATTAAAATGCATTAAAATGATTCTGTATCTCAGGATATATCTTTCCAAAAATGTAATAATCATCATTTACATATTAAAAGTAGCGAGAAGGTAAAAGAAATAACCAACATCTTGCGATGTATAATGCTAAATAACGAGAGATAAAGGTGCAATGAAATGTAACTACTATAGATATATGCCTAATAAATAGGAAAATAAGAATAAAGAAAGGCGTGACAAGTCTAAGTTCCACACTTCAACTTGATTATGGACAAAAAAATAACCGACGTGAAAAGAGTTGGCAACGGTTATCAGAGAATCTACATGAAAATTTTGGTACCAAAAACAAAATCTCTAAAAATACCAAGGAAGCCACGTCGATGCAAATTGGCAGTATACAACAAGTGATATCGACAAGTTCAGATCAGGTGATGAGGTTTAAATATCTTCGCGTCAATACTACGAGCAGCAAGATTTTCCAAGAAGATGTTATAGCTTAAACAACGAAAGGAGCATTGATATCAGGTTACCTGAGGGACAAAATATAGCAAAACAAGTATATGTCCTTAGAAAGCAAAGTCAGCATATACATATAAGACTTGTTTGTACATGCGATAGATTAGAAAATGCTACCACACAAGAATCCTCATAACAGTGGAGATGAAGACGCTAAGGTCATTAACAGAATACATCTTGTGGGACCATAACAGAAGTAAGAATATCAGAGAGATATGCGATATCCAGGACATTGTGAGAAGGCCTTCCAACACAAGACGGGAATGGAGTGACCCCCGTGTTGAACGTATGGAAGCCTCAAGACTACCAAGGATGGTCAAAGATGAACCCCTAAGACCAAATAGACCCCTTAGAAGACCTTGTATACGATGGTGTGCAAGCTGAAGCCCATCTACCCAATATATACTATGTATAATTAAGAAACAATGTATGTTTTAAAGTAAGAAGAAGTAGGATTCTTACAAAGGAATTTTGGTGACATGTTGGGCTGGGTTGATTTGGGTTGGGTTAACTTGGGTTGGGTGGAGTTGGGTTGAGTTGGGTTGGGTAAATCAATCCATGCTGTTACGGAACGGCACCAAGAGGTGAAGCCGTACTGACTGTATCCAAGGGGTTGAACACCCTTGCTCTAGATAAAAGCCTGTCGGGTAAGCATAAGACTGAGCGTAAAGAAGGCGCTGGGCATCTCTAAAAATGGGTTTTATGGAATCAAAACAAAAAGCCTTGGATGGGTCTGCAGGACAAAGACAGTCGCAGACCGCACGTGAGAAAGGGTCGAGCTCGCGTGACTATGAAGACCGATTAACACAGTGCTCTGTTGGCCGGAGTAATGAAGAGGATTTTCCTTTTAGAAGAAGTACTCTGTTGAGCCGCTCTCCACCTAAGATAGCTTCCCAAAGAAAGTCGGTGCCAAGCTGATTGCCATCAGAAGATGAAAAAGAAGTAGACAAGACAAACCCTCAAGGAGCTATAAAAAGGAAGAAATCAGAAGAGATGCAGACTCATACGAGTGAAGAAGAGGAAGATGATGACGACCTGAGCAAGACGGCGGTTGAGGTAGACAGCGGTAAATGAAGCTAATGGGATTTTTTAAGGCTGGGAAGCTTAGACACAGCAACCCCAGTGAGGACGTGGACCTTTGATAACGTGAAAAGAAATTCTTCAAGACACGAAGAAGTTTCACCGGAGAAGGAATGCAGGAAGAAGGATGAGAGGAAAGGGAGAGGATGTAAATGGAAAGGAAGAGAGAAAAGAAACAAGTGGCAGAAGAAGCAAACAGGCAGAGAGGCTAGAGCACACAATGGCAACGATGTTGCTATTGATGGTGGTACTGAGAACAAATGTGGAACACAATACAAAGAGAGAGATAAAGGTTGCGGCTGCGAAGCTAGAAAGATTGGGATAAATTATGAGGGAGGATAAAATGAAGAAAGAGATAAAAACACAGGAGCTACGAAACCTGCTAAAAACTTAGAGGAGAAGAGCGACATTAGAGAAGAACGGAAACAGAAGAAGAACGAAAGATGCGAGAGGAGGAAGCTTGTGAAGTCGAAATAAAGAGAATACGGACTTACGGAGTTTGGAGAAGAATGGTAAATAAGGAGTGGGAAGAGAAATCTTTTAACACAAAAACAAAAGAAGGAAATCCATTGCAACAACAGCAGTTGGGTTGGGTAAATCAATCCAACCCAACTAAACCCAGCCCAGCATGTCACGTACGGGTTGGGTTGTGTTGGTTTTTGTTGACTACACTTCATCTCATGACAGGAATACAGTGTTCATATTTAAGTTGAATAGAATGTAGTGAATCAGTTGCTTGGTCATCTTCTTTATCGGAATCCCTTAAATTTTTCCTGTATATATTTTTAGAAAGAAAGCTGGAGCTTAACTTCCCAACATAGGCTATATGTAATTAGAAACAAGACAGATGTCTTAAAGTAAGAAGATTTGGATGACATGTTGGGTTGGGTTGATTTATGTCGACGACACTTCATCCTATTACAAAAATAAGGTGTCTTATTTAAGGCGAATAAAACCAGTTGCTTGGCGAAAAAAGAAATCGTATCGTAAAATATACTGAGAGAACTTTGGAAATTGTTATGATTTTTTCTACTTCACACAGAAGTTAGATGACTTTCTCGTTGCAAAGTTGTGGGACTCTTGGCTGTATTAAAGCTCATTTGTTGTCGTGTCTATTCGATATTTTTTGACTACAAAAATTTACATGGGGAAGTATCTTGATTTAGGTATCAACTCATTTTGGTAATGCAGGATTCAAAGAAATCCATACTGACTACATGTTAGGTAATAGTATATTAAAAAACTAGTTTCGTAAGACACACAATAAAATAAATTTTAACAATGTAGGGAAACAGGTACGTAGCAGTTGGTAACACCGTAACACTTGAAAATAGAAATTTGAATTGACAATTAGAAATTGTCAAAACACAAAATGTATTCACCTGAAAAAAAAATTTCATGTACACCTCCCAAAATAAGAGAAATTGCTCAGAGTTCAATCTCCTCATCATTGTGGACCTTGTATTCGATGCTAAGAACGTGTTTAAACATCCATAGACAAAAATTGTCACATTGACAACTACAAAAATTGAAAACCCAATGTCACCAACTTGAACTGGTTCCATAAAATGTTACTAAAATCTCATTACAGCATCGGATGCTGTAAGGAGTCTCATTACAGCATCGGATGCTGTAAGGAGTCTCATTACAGCACCCGTTTGAGTACTGTAATAGCTTTCATTACCGTCGCGAATTACAAAATAGTTATTTATATTACAAGGGCTAGAAACATAATCGCATTTTATCTACGACTGCTAAAAATTACTAAAAAATCAATTTCTTTAAAAAAGTCTATTAGATATTTATAAAAATATTTTGAAATGATTGTTGACAATTTTGAATTGTCAGTTTCAACAACATGTTTACTCATCTGGAATAAGTGTTTCGAAATGTAAAAACATAACAATTAATGTTTATAATAAATAGTATTGTTTCTCTGTAAGTAGATAGCACTTTTGTTTGTATTGTTGCTCGTTTCAATAAATTAAGTCTATTCTGATTAGGCTAAAAATGCGTTGCGTAATGAAACCAGTGCGGTAATGAACTTCATTACGTAACTCAAATCACCTCAAATGAGTGCGGTAATGATGACTTATGCAAGCAGTCGTAGATAAAACAATTTATTTGTTTTTATATTATAGCTTACCTGATCAAATTTAAATCTTAATATTGATATTAATCATTTTTGATTTTGTTAAAAGAAGTGTTTGGGGTAAATAATTAGAACAGAATAACTTAATACTCATATACAAAGACATTTATTACTTACAATTAGTAATAGTTCCGGGTATGTTTTTTTTTCGTATAATCATTTTATTAATATAAACAACTATATTTACAATGCAACATGGTACAGTGATTACGTACACCATTACTCGAGGTGTAATAAAATTTTTATCTTAACTTCAAATAGATATTACGCTCCCTATCCTTTTCCTTTTTTTTTTCTTCCACGTAATGTAATTATTTTAATAATTCTGGTCAAACCAATAACAACTCTCTATCACAAAAGTGTTTTTTTTTTATTTTTTTAAGTGGAAAAGACAACGTTTTCATTTAAAATCGTTTCGAAAACGCCCTCTTTTTTTTTAATTCTTTTATTGTAGTGATAAAAAACGGTAGTGATTTATTATTATTAATTTATAATTAGTAGAGAAATCTATTTATTTTTTTTTTGTAATTAGCGAAAGTGTTTAACAAAAACGATTTTTGTGTTAATTTTTTGTTACAATTTTTTTTGTTTTAATTTATTTTAAAGCGTGCATTGAGCCGAGAAATTGAAACGTTTGTGAAAAAATGGAACAACAACCCATCGATTAATTAATTAATTAATCGTTTTAATCTTGCAATCGATTTTTTTTAAATTTTTTTAATGCTTACAGCCGTTTGATTTTTATTTGGACGTACCGTATTAAGGAGGGGTGCATTTTTGCCGCGTGCCTTACTTATTATTTTTTTTTTTAATTTCTTTAGTGCCGTGGACTACGAAAAAACTACCATTTATTTTCTCACAAGTCTGTTTTTTTTTTGTTTACAAATCCTACGTAAAATTTATAAAGACTAAAATTACAAAGACGAGAAATTTTTTTTACCTAAATCGACTCACAGCGTTATTATGTAAGTTATATTGCAACTAAAATGAATATCTAAATACCAATTAAAAATTTAGAATCATTTAATAACTAAATAATTAACAAATAATTATTTTTAGGCCTGGAAAAATGTACATAGTTTTTTTTTCATCTACAACATGTTGCTTTATTTAACAATACAGCTAAATTTAAGTTATTTTTTTTTAAAGCAAGATGTTTTTTGCCTATTTGGCACGTAATAGTTTTCTTTAAATTGACTTATTGGCGAATATACAGTATGTTCCAAGATTATCTCACCATCTAAGGTATAAACGAATATTATATTACTGACTTTGAGTGTCATTAAACTGTAATTAAATTTAGTTATACTTGGTTTTAAATGACTTAATTATAAAAATTTTTGATCATTTACATCGTAAGTTGAGATAATCTTAAGAATGTATAAAAAAATTACGTAGAAGTTATAAAAAATTAAATAAAAGAAGAAAGGAGGCTAACAGTAATGGTTAACATTGACGTAAAAAATAATAATGATACTAAAGATAATAAATTGTATAATTAAATGAAAGCTAAGTTTTTTTTTGATACAATAATAAATAATACATATTTCAACTGTATAAAAAAAGTCGCCTACATTGCTACTGAGCGCGCTACTCGAAAAAATCGAAGAGATAATCTCTTTCTCTACTTATTTATTAATTTATTTATTTTTTTCTTCGAATGAATGAAATCTAAGGTTTATCTCGAATGGAAGTACGAGAGAGGATTTGTGCCCGGACCTCCACTTCTATTCTAAGATAATGTTTATTATTTTTTTTTAATTATTTGTGAATATTTTCCGTGAATATCCTTTTTATTTTCTTAATCCATTTTTTGTCAGTCAACTGCACTGCAGCGTTTACAGCCTACGCGATTGGAGAGACTTAGCTAGTTTAGTCTTAGTTTACAAATAGTAATAATTGAGCACCATGGAAGGAATGGATCTATATGAATTTGTTTACACTTTTACGTTTCCATTTTTTTTTTTAATTATTTTAAATTCTGATTGATTTTAGTTCGATTTACAAAACACACTATTGCCACCACATTGTTTATGTTGTAGTTTATTAAAATTCATTTCTTCACTATGTTTTTTTTTTTCTTAAACGTAGTTTTAGGCCCATAGCGAACAAGTTGAAAAAAAAAATTGAAAAGGTTATTTTTCCATCATCAAACAAATTACAAATAATTTTTTTTTTAATTAATAATAATTAATTTGACAATGAAGAAATCGGCAAAAACAATGGTTTAACAAAATATAATTACATACTTCTGATGATAATGATTTTTTATTCGTGGAAATTTCAAAAAAAAAAAAAACTTGTATAATGATTTATTCTTAAAATTAACTATTCTACACGAATTTTCAATTTTATTATTTTAAAACACCCTGTATAATGATAAAAAAATAATTTCTAAACTAAAATAATCAAAAGAAATTCGCCAGAAATATGTAATTAAATGCCATTGATAAGATTTGTTCAATAACTCTTTAAGGGTGTGTTTAAACATTCAAATACGACATTTGAGCGCGGCTGCCTCGCGCTGTTTATGTTTTAATAAGCGCTAACATTCTTTATTTATAGAATGTTTTCCGCGCTCAAAAAAAAATGTTTAGACATACCTTAAGATAAATCAATAATTAATTTAAATAAAACTTTATTTTAACAACTTTTTGGAATTAAAGAAAAACAAAAATATTAAGTCTTTAAGAAAATGGCACGTACGCAAAAAAAATTTTGAAATAATCTAAAAATAACCGTCAAAACATAATTTAACATAAATTTTTTGGTGCAAAACAAAAACACGTAACGTAACCATTTAAAGTATGTTATAAATTTTTTTTTTGATCTTATTACTATTTGAGAAATATACCATTACGCTTAATCAAGCGTAAAGGAAAAAGGTACACTTCTTTTATCGAAAACCGACGTTATTCTATCAGTTTCGCAATTATTTTTCGTTTTAATTTAAAAACCTATTATTTTTTTTTTTCATATCTTTTTAAAGATCGATCCTTTTCTTTAACTACGTGTGTGTGAATGAATTGCTGGTGGGATCAGATGTATTTTGTTTTTGTGTAACAAGCGTGTGTGCCGGGGTTTCTTTATTACTTTTTTCATTTTTTAATAATTAGGGGGAAGAAGGTGTCCAGACGCGACTGGTCGTTTTAGTTGTGTATTATTCCTGAGAAGGGACGTCCCGAATTTAGGCCTCATTTGATGCCCGAGTAGTGTTCTGGGTACAAATGGACACCTTCCACACTAAATATTGATACATCTGGAATTTATTAAAAAAATTAATTATTTTATTAAATTATAAATTATTTTTTGTACCATCGGGAAGCTCGAGTAGCTTCTTTGGTAATCCGCTAAAATATTGGTGAGTCATCGCTTGATCCGCACCGATTCTATGCTGAGGATCGAGTTGTAATAACGCTGTGGCCATTGTTTCACCTTGAACCACGTCGTGTAATCTTGGCCAGTACAAACCTAACTTACGAGGTTGGTATTTACCTAATTTATGTGCTTTATAACCTGGTAATCTTGTTACTCCAGGCCAATCTTCTTCTGTTGGAGTTCCAAGCACCTACAAATTATTTAAAAAATATTAGTATATTAACAATAAAGTTCTATTTTTATTATATTTCAAGTCAAAAAATGTTCTACACATAAATAGATCGTAAATTTAAGTTGTTAATTTTTTTATAGTTGTTTAGTTAAGATGAAGTCGAGCGGAAGATATGATGTGATTTTTATTGCCTGCTTTGTTTATTTAAAGAGAGCTCCTGATATTTTAGTGAACTGCGCATGAATACAAATTTAGAGTTAAAATATTTTCGCTCCAAAACATTATGTGGGAGCATATAATTTCACAAAATTTTTGTGTTTACGCTTAATAAATACAGGGTGATTCTCAACTTATACACATAAACTTAGGAATTTATCCCTTTTGACAAATAATGACTATTGTAGTAAAAGTTATATATTAGATATAATTGGCGACATCTGGATAATGTTCGGGATAATTCGGATAAAAATATGCAAAGATAAATTGCTAACTATCCTCTTGCCTCCTAAACCTATTATTACTAGAACTATAATAATATTAAAAATATTGTAGAGGA